AGACTGCTTAGAAAGTTTTGCCATAGTCAATGATGGTTCCATAGGTAAACCAAGTCCTATAAACCTGAACTTCTTTATGGTTAATGCTAGTAAGCAAGAATGTAGTATACAATTGGACAAGGTGGTATGGGTTTGTTTAAATAAATGCAATAAAAAAAGTTTAAAGTTGTCCTTTTGTTTTCATTGTTGTAATTAGGCAGTATGTTATATTTAAAATAGAAGTGATTTTTTTCAACAGTTTTAAAGAAATTAAATAGCAAATAATGAATTTACTGCTATACTCAAAATCGTCTACGCTTAAGGTGACCATCTTTGGCAACAGGCTTAATGGAAGAATTTTTGCCATCTGAAAGGCGTTGCTCTAAATCACGAATGGTATTACGAAGAATTGCAATCTCCTTGTTTTTTTCTTCTTGAAGATGTTGAAGCTTCTAAATGAAGTAGAAAAATTTTGTTATTGCAACTTAGAAAGAATAAGATTAAGTACAAGGAACAGCAAGACAAAAACAAAAGGAGTTCTGAGTGGGTATTTTAAAAAGACCTTATTTCTAAAGGTCTAATTTCTGTTTTGAGGGTCTTAATGTGTTACAGCTGGTATAAGGATATGAAAACCATTAGCACTCTTTATTTTAGTCTGTTCCCACCTCTCTGTAAGTCTATATGTCTTGCAGTAATAAACTGTACAAATAAAGGAGTTGAAGCATAAGAAATATAAGTGCCTAAATAACTGAAATTGTTAAGTCAGCTTTAGTTCAAAATAATAGATTACAGAATTCCTTAGGAAGTCCAAATAGTCAAAGAATTTCTCTAATGTTTTAACTTACTATTCAAACTTGCTAGTTAAAATTAGAAATTACATTTTAAGATTATTCAAAATCTAATATCTTTCCAATCACATGATATATTTTAAGAAATAACTGTTAAATATCATATTGTTAGCAAATACTAGATAACTTTTATAGAAACACACTAAGAAATTTTATTTTCTTATGCAACAGTCATGGAGGAAAAACTCACATACCCTTCTGTAGATGCTTTGTGGCAAAATAGTAGAATCCATATATGATTTTGTTGGTTTAGTTTGAATTCTTGCTAGTTTGGCATCAAACTGAATCAAGTTAAAGAAAATAGTTACTGAGAACATTTAATAATTAGATTGTTTCTGTAAATACAAGTATCATCCATTGTAGACTTTAACATGCAATCTGTAATTTAAGTGTAACTCTGTATAACAGATGACAAAACCAAACAAACAGAAAAACCCAAAACTTTTCTTTAAGAAAAATTTTTCACAAAGAGAAAAGAATATCCAAATAAAATGAACTCTGACTCAAAACTCACTGCAGTTCAGTTGGATCTGAATAATAGCAACCCCTCCTTTGATTTCTGAGGTGGTATCACTATGGAAATAGATCACCCAATCTTTCTTCTGAGGAGTGGCTGGTGGTTCCCACCAGCCTTCTGGTTGGCAGCCAAATGCCTTCGGCACTAAGCTACTCTGACTATGTGTTAAAATTTACCCGGGGAACTTTTAAAAGTATCAAATGCCTGGGCACCTTAGAGATTCTGGTGTGGGGCCAGGTATAATCTTTTTCTTAAAACATCAGGTGATTCTGCCGTGCAGCCAGGGCTGAGAGTATAGTTTAACCTAACGATA